CCCCCCCCACCCCTCGTAACGACTACGCCATGCACGACTACGAGTACCTCCCCCCACCCCCCTCCCGTCTGCCGCCCCTTGCCGCCCTCGCCCCTCCTGCCCGCAGGGGCCCCGTGCGTATGCGGATTGAGAACGTGGACGGGGTGGACGTGCCGCCGTCGGAGATGCCTTGGCTGGAGGATTCCGACGCCGACGGTTACGTCTTCGCCGAGCCAACCGCGACCGGGGTGTTCCTGTTCGAGGAGAACTGGCTGCAGCCCGGGGTCGGGTCGAGAGAAGCGGACTACAAGTGAGTGTTTTTTTTCTTTTTCTGTTTCTTGAATGTTTGTATCGGGCCCCACAGAACGACACCGGCGGGCGGGTTATTGTGAACATCGCACTCGTCGCATCCACCATGACACCGAGCCCAGGGGCCGGCCCGCTGCTGCTGCCGCAGGCATGGCAGACTCAGACGACAGCCGTAGCGGGAACACCATGCGCGTGTAGGATTTCTTCTGTCTGGCCCTCATGAGCAGGCCAGGGGCATCGGCCAGCGCACCACGCGCGCACCTGCCTGGAACCGCGAACGTGAGCACCCATCACCAGGACGGCGGGAGCAGAGTTGACGAGGACTCCATTCTCCATGCAGCTGTGTCTGCACCTGCAATGGTAGCCGGTCAACGCCGGGTCGAAACCGGGTTTGGCGTTGACCAGCTTCCGTTTCGGCTGTGTATATACCTGCATGGAGAATGATGTCGTCGACACGCCCTCCCGGGCGGTGCTCGCGTGGTGCGGTTGTCAACTCTGCGCCCGCCGTACTGGTGATGGGTGCTCAAGTTCGGGGTCCCAGGCCGGTGGGTGCGTGGTGCGCTGGCGGGTGTCGCTGGCCTGCTCGAGAGGTCAGGTGGGCGAAGGTCATTCATTCTGAGAAGGGAGAAGGGCGAGATAGCGGAAGATTCTCGTTCAATGGGTGGACAGTCCGTCACCACACATCATGGGCCGCAAGCCAGAGACGGGAAGGTACAAACCACGCCCTATCGACGCAGGACCAATCGCAGATGCCCAAGAACTCTCCCCAGAGGACTACGCGAAGCTGACTAGATACGACTCTCGACAACTTCCGGGTACCCTACGCCCTCAAGCTGTTCTGTTTTGCGTGTTGTGTCTTGTCGGGGGTGAGGCGTTATTCATGACAACGGGCAGGAGTCGAGTGTATCAATATCGCTCATGATATGCTTTTGCTTGGTTTCTGGTTTTTGTAGGGGGGCGCCGCTAAATGAAAACGGCAGTCGCTTTTTGTCTTGGCGAGTTAGGCACTCATGGTATCTAGTCACACGTCTGCTGTTTACACAGGCACGCGTATCTTTCGCTCTCTCTCTCTCTCTCTCTCTCTCTCTCTCTCTCTCTCTCT